CTTCCCTTCCCTTCCCTTCCCTTCCCTTCCCTTCCCTTCCCTTCCCTTCCCTTCCCTTTTTTCCCCAGTAAGACTATGTCATTGCTGCTCTCACAGCCAGAACCTTTTAAAGCCTGCCGCGTCCTATTGTCTGTGGCAGCAAGTCACTCTCAGCCTTTAAAGCTCCTTCCCCTTTGCTGACTTCCAAGCAGCATTCAGAGGGTTCTCCCAGTCTAATGTGTATAATAACCATCACCCCTCCGACTCTGATTTAAGTGCAGACTAAGTGAACTGGAAGTCTCCAGGCTCTGTTGTTGAATTGGTTCCTAAATGTAAAATCTCTTATAATGTGAAAAATGCTGTGGAATAGAAGAAGTTGTAAAGAATCTTAAGGTCACCTACTGTCCTTTAAATTCATGCTATAGACTAGAACTGCAGCCTGTGACTCTTCAGTCCGCTGAAACATTTCTTTCTTTAAACCTGTTTAAAGAAATTAAATCTTTAAAAATTGAGTATGAGGTAGTTACAGCATGGCATCTAACAGTTCATCTCTGCTCTTCTCACATTTTCTAGTGCTTTCCATTCTGTTGAATTGATTAATTGATTAATGAATATCAACCATTGTAGCACACATAAATCTGTGACAAACTCTTACTGGATTAACAAGCTTTCTGTGAACTTAACAAGATTCAACAACATACCAAAAAGAGTTTTTCCCCTAGTATTTAAAAAAATGAGGTGACACAAAAGATGTTTTTCACAATAGGGTGCTGAGGAATGCAAATTACTGATGCATATGTATTTCTGATATCTGTATAGACTCAAGTGGGTAGGTAGTCTGACATCACAGACCTCAGCTGTGTAGTATCCTACTTTTATTAAGAATAAAGTACAGAATTTGACTCTAATTGATTATTCTCTGGTCCATTTCTGGAGAACTGTGTGCTTCCCTGGCTGTAGGAGGATGGTGTGCTTCCCTGGAAGTACCTGTCTGTTCCTGCCTTCCCTGTCTGTTCTGTGATACTTGAGGAAAACAGTAGCCATTTTTCATTTACTCCTTTCTTGTTAAGTATTTTCAGATTCTCCAGTGTACCTTCTGTTCAAGAGTGCTTCTTGAAGGAACCAACTGATATCTGTTTATTCTTAATCCAGGAAATAATTAGTATTTTTAAACACTGAAAATACTGACGAAGTTACACTACTGCAGACAGTTCAGTTTCTGTACACAGCAAATTAAGCTGAGAGAAAATGACCAATGAAGACTTTTGGTTCCCATTTTACAAAGCAGAATGTCACCTACAAATTGCACTACCATAACAGTTGTTTATTTTTGCAAAAAACATCTAGAGGCCTAAGACAGGAATTTAGCATCCATTATACCTTTTCATGTCATCACATTTAATAAAACGAGAAACTTTGTCTCCAGGTGTTTGCAACGAAAGCATGTGGCAGAGGGCAATGGGTTAATACAACAAAGAGAGGAAGAGAGAAAAAGGTGAAGATGAAATTATTCTGATTAGCAAAATGAGAAGCAGACATGATCCAACGGTGTCTAGATATGGTCAAGGGGCAAAGGTACATTTTAATAAGTCTTGAAGAAGACAGTACAATGGCTTAGTAAATATTTATGCAAATCTTCTTAGCACTGTTTATGTAAAGATGCAAAGTTCTTTTAAGTCTTCTATGATTTAGTTAATCAGAATTCTTCCAAGGGAATGAAATGATCATAATTATTTCATAAATATGTGTAGTATGAAAATCGCCATGTTTTGCTTGTTTTTGTTTTGCTCAATTTTGCTTTACTCTTTCAGTATACTGCAGTTCCTGTACAGGGTGAGGTTGTACCAAAAGACTGATTTCCCGTGGTGTAAATTAGAGTTTCATAAGACTGGGGGACTTTTAGTTTGTCATTTTATCACCAGTTGTTTTGTGTCTGTAATTTGCAGGCAAATCTGTCTGGAAAGTCTTCTTCTTCACTCCAAACTTCAGTCCTGAAGACTCCAATGGTTGCTACGATTCTCATGTTTGCTTCTGCCATGGAGGATTCATCACGCGGCATGATCCCCCACTGCTCTTCGATCTTTCCAGAGACCCTGAAGAGAGAGTCCCGCTGACTCCAGAAACGGAGAGCCATTTCTATGAAATCCTCAGGGTCATACACCTAGCGGTAGACAATCACACCAGATCCCTGCATGCTGTCCCTGACCAGCTGTCATGGGACAACCTTCTCTGGAAGCCGTGGCTCCAGCCATGCTGCTCATCTCTCTTTCAGTCTTGTTACTGTGACTATGACTCAGAAGGGAGTCTGTCAGAGGTGCACCCAGGATAAACAAGCTGCAATTCCCTTTCAGAAACTGGAACAAGAGAGTGTAGGTAGCTGACTTGAACCACCGCAGTACTAGCCTTCAGAAAGTTTTGTTATATAGGAGGACCTGGCTTTAAATACATCATTGTGGGAGAAGATAATTTTGGTCAAGAAAATGTGCCAAGAGAAGGAGGGCAAGACACACCTTTTCTGTCTTTATAATACAAGAATCAGTATGAAGCACATGTTGCCATCCTCATCTACAAATGGGTAGGCTGTAGGCATTTTCTAGATGAGATCATTTTCTACATCTTCAACTTCAGATTTTTTCTTACACAGCAAGGAATTTACCTACAGTTTCTGTCAATTACAACCACTAAATACACACTTTCCTGTCCTTTTTGCTAAGTATTACCCACTGTTAGTAGGACATAGCACTGAGTAATTAAAAATAGAGAGATAATAGTGGAGAGGTCTACCTGTGACTATAATTTGATAACTCACAGATAGGTAAAAAGCAGACCTGTAACAGCATCTCTATCAACAAGCATCACGGATATGAAATAATAAACAGATTGCCAACAATCTAACATTGCGTGTGCCATAAAAATGTAGAGAGCTATGTAGCAGAAGACCTTGCGTCCACATTAAAATGGTGCTCCCTAGCTGCCTATTGCATGGCAGCAACCTTTGTTTCAAAAGGAAACCACTTCAAGTGCACCAGTCATGTGCTTGAGTGTGTACCGTAAGTCTCCATATATATATATATATATGCAAGCCAAATTCATAACCCCCAAAACCCACAAATCCTTCAATCCCTGATACAGACACACCCTTATGGTCATATGAATGATTGCTAAAATGAAATATTTGGTCCATACTTGATATATGAGTTCCAAATTCACATGATACTACAAAGATATCTTTCACTATCTGTCTCCCATACCTATTCTACCACTGATGAATGTAGTGCACGTCACAAATAAATAAAATTTGATCTTCCTTTAAATATCTTTGCCATCATTTAAACTCTCTGAATAGGATCTACCATTTTCTGAGAAAAAAATTGGGCTTGAGCACTTGAAGCCAAATATAACTGTCTCTGAGTTTTTAGCAAGGCCTTGGGAAATCTAGAGTACTTCAGGGCTAATTTCTGTATCCATTTGTATCTGCATCTTATTCAGTCACATTTTATTTCCACTCTACAGGCAGGCAACCTATTTTCTTTGGCAGATTGTACCAGAGGAAAACATATCAGCAAAATACTAAAATGGTTTGGTGCCTGCTAATAGAAGGTGACTTGCTCCTTATCAGAAAATGCTAGTTAATTCCGACATTATAATGTATTAAAATCTCTTTGGTGGTATAAGCACATCACTAATGCAAAACTGATCTGTGACGATAGTAATGCAATAGCTTCAGTCAGTCAACATTAAGGTTGTGACCTGGTTTTTGGGAACTATTGAAGCCTGTCCTATAAAAATATATTGTGATATACGGTATTTTTCTCTGTCTGTAAAACCTACTCTTTATTTGATTTTTCTGCTGCAGTTTCATTCAAAATTTCATTGTCAACAATATCCAGATGCCTGTCGTGGGAAATGTTGTGGTCTTTCCTTGAAGTCCTATTTTTGATGTTTCACCTTGTGTTCATGATTGTGTATCTTAAGTATGTGCTCTGCAAGCTCTCTGTAGGTAGCAAAGTCCTGTGTATGCTGATAAAGTTAGTCTGTTCAGGTATTTCCACCACTCAGGACTGTTTATATTGTACCTGGAAATCTGTCAGATGGCCATTCATGTGGCATAATTCCTTCTTTGCTTTACTTAATTACAGAATGTACTACATACATAAACTTAGGAAGAAAGATGCCTGCAGTTTGAATACAAGTACTCTTCTGCAGTGATCAGTGGCTGCCTGTCGACATTGTGGCAGGATCCATGCATCCCAAATTTTTGGTCCTCACCACGTGGCCCAAAAACCCTTTGGGTCATGGCGCTGGTGCCTCCGTGCCTCCCCCTGCAGGGGGTAGGCAGCCCAGGCTGCAGCCAGGGTTCCAGCTGCCCTGGCACTGAGCACCGCAGTAGAGGGGAATGTTCTCTCCAGCTCCCACAGCTCTGCTGCAGCTTACACAAAACTTTTCAAGCAAATATTCTTGCCGATGGATATGGGAGAAAATATGTTGTGTGTTAGGTATACAGCAGTAACTCAGACAAGGTCTTTTGTGTCATCGGATCTGTTTTGTTCCCACAGTTGCTGGGCTGTGACCTTAACAGGGACCTCAATTTATATTCTCAAGGACATCCACATCAACTTCTTTTCATTAGGAAGATGCTATGTTCACATTATTTCTTTTCTTTCTGCAGGTGCAAGAATTGTTTGTTCTGTTAGGCACAGCAGCTGTTCTGTGCTGCCTGACTGAGGTATCAAAAATGATAATTTTTCTACTGCTCTGATTTCTTCTTGCCTGAATATGGCCTTTCTTTTATACCCTCCTTGGCTTTTGGTTCCATCTCTCTAATCTCCTTTCTTAAAATGTCCACACACCTCAAATACTTTTTCACCTATTTCTTTGCCACTCAGTCCTCCTGTTTGCTTGTTATATTGATCGCGATGGCTATTTTGCCCTCATCAATCAGAAAATGAAAAGTGGGCTGTGAAAAGATTCAACTTTTAGGGCTCCATGACTCTGCTAACCTCCTACTTATTTAAGGTCTGGCAAGGATTAACTTTGCATTATGAAATCTAAGAAATTAAAACACACCCAAGACACCCTGAATAGTAAAAGTTATTTCTTGTTTATGGCACATTTTCCAAAATATAATTTAGTACAACATTGAATATTTTGACTTAAGCAGTAAAATCTGAAATCCATTTTTAAAATTGTTCCTTCAAGAAAGATTCTATTAAGAATAGGGCAGTGGTTTTTATACTCTATGTTAATGCCATTTCATTTAATGCCTAAAATAAACCATCCCTGTATTACAAATATATTATACCTTTCAGTACTGTACCTTCTGTTCTGGAGATGTCATGTCAGATCATGGTAATTAAAGTAGTCTTGTTTATCTGCAAAATAAATTGAGAAGCACAATATACCATTTTTGTAATGGCACTGCCTGATCCAACAAGGAAAAGTTTTGTTTTTCACAACAGGTTATTGATGGGATATATGTGATTCACAATTTATTAACAAGGAAGGCTCAAGAAGAATCTGCTGCTCTGGTACTTCGGGACTGACTTTCAATCTATCATTTAACGAGCATCAGTATTGTAACATGGTGCCTGTTTGTAGAATATGTCAGTTAAAACTGGGAGTTAAGCTTCAGAGGAAAGTGTATTCCTCTACAGAATTATTTAACAGTGTCAAATCCTAGTTAGTCACAGAGTCCCTGTATGGCCCAGAGCAAGTCATTTAACTCTGTTTCTCAGTTCCTCCTCTGTGCCCAAAGAAGGGTAACAGTATTTCTCTAACTGTTGGAAATACTGAAAGAACAAAAAATGCTGAAAGTGGTAAGCTGGTAAAGGTGTGCTTTCTAGTCAATAAGGCACCTTCTCTACAGAAGGTACTTTTTAAGAGCTGGAAAACTAGGATGTATAAGATCCCCCTATACTAGGAGGTATAAGACACCCTTAACTTCAGGTTTGCAGATAAGTTCTGTGCTTACTGTTTAGCACATGTGGGATCGGGGCCTGGAGGAGAGAGAACAGATGGCTAAAGAAGATACACACTGGGGATTCAGGGAAAGATATTAGTCACATTTTTCTAATTATATTTATTCTCTCTTTTAGCAGACATAGGAGACTACATGAAATTATTTAAATAGTATTTCCCCCTCAGGGACTGGATGTCACAGGTTCCTGGCTCTTAAAAATTGAGATGTCATAGAATCATAGAATAGAATCATAGAATAGAATCATAGAATAGAATCATAGAATAGAATCATAGAATAGAATCATAGAATAGAATCATAGAATAGAATCATAGAATAGAATCATAGAATACAATCATAGAATCATTAAGGTTGGAAGAGACCTCCAAGATCATCGAGTCCAACCGTCAATCCAACAACACCATGCTGACTAAACCGTGTCCCTAAGCGCCTCATCTACCCGTTTTTTAAATACTTCCAGGGATGGTGACTCAACCACTTCCCTGGGCATGTCCTGACTTGCCTCAAATTACTGTGTCAGAAAAAGAAAACAAAAGAAAAAGAAAAGGGGAAATATGAGCCTTTGGAGATAGGTGTCAGCTTACTGAAATCCAACCGAAAGTTTGCAGAGAACTAAGTGAGTATGGTCCCTCTCCTTCACAGCTCAGTAAGAATCATCACTTGCCAGCAATAGCTTGTTTCACACTGTAGTAGTGTGAGATCTGGGTGTTCAGATGTGTGGACAATGTAGAAAATTTCACATAAGATGTCACCTGATACAGGAATAAATGGAAAAAGAAAAAAAAAAGTGGGCAAGCATAGCTACAAAAATCCTATGTTCTAATAGAGTACATATATTAAAACACAGGGGTTTTTTACTTACATTAGGACATGATAGTTCTGTGCATTAGATAGGCTTTTTCATCTTCTCTGTCGTTTCTCTTTCCTCTGGCATTGCCTGCGTACCATCCGAAATATGCTTGAGGAGCTCACTTTCAAGAGGAGTCCATCCTTTCCAAGCACACTACGAGCAGAGTGGCCGGCCGTGCGGGCAGGAGGAAAGGCTGGCATAGCAAAACTCTGCACTGGGAACCACCAGGGAGCAAATAGTTTCCAGGGGTTATCTCCAGCCTGAAGACAGAGGTGTATGAAATGCTGGTTCCTCTGGGTCTGTCAGGGACTGCAGGTGACCAGGAGGAATGAGGACACCTCTGTGGCCAACTGGACTGCAGTGTATTCTGCAGCAGTATCCTTCAGTGTCAGACTTCAGGTGGAAATTTGCTGGGGGCCCACAGGATGCAGGACCCCTTGCCTCTGAGTAAACAGGCCAAACAGGCTACTCCTGAATCATCATTCAGGAAGTGACAGATCTTAATCTGAAGCTCTGGGTCTAAGACAGCAACAGTCATGCATTTTGTTCCCTGGAAGACTAGAAGACCTGAGCCAGGCTCTAGGGACTACCAGTTTTACAGGCTGCTAAAACTGCAAATAATTCAGGGAGTCCAGTTTTACAGGCTGCTAAAACTGCAAATCATTCAGGGAGTCCAGGAAACACCATGGCTTTTCCAAAACATTTTGGTGTTCTTGGTAGCTTTTATTTATGTCAAAAACAATAAGAATCTGCCTAAAACTTCACCTGTACAGCAAACAAAGGATGTTGCAAATTGTTCTTAAGACTACTCACGATAGCTTAACCTGCTAGTTCAGTACTGAGAGCAGTGAGCTTGCGCCAACAAAAGGTTCAGCAACTGAAGGTTTCTTATGCATATGGAAAGATGCTGAATTCCAGACTACCACTGAAGCTTACACTATGCTGGCTAGTAAGATAAAAACTGGCTTGATTATCCTCACATCTCTAATTGTACTGTCAAAGTTATGAAACATTGCAGACTTTGCAAGATGTGGATGTGGATTATAGCTGTATAAGCTTTTGCAATGCTTATACAGCATCTCCTGAATACTTAAAAAACATTCCTTTAATATAAATCATGCTAGGTTCCTTATGCAGATTAATGTTAGTCTTATCTATAAAAGAATGGTGCCACAGGTATTTTCCTTGAAAAAGAAAACTATATTTGAAGAGAACAGACTCAGCATATATGGTCAGCTCAGTTACAAATACCCCTCCAACATTATTTATTCTACAGTTATCAAATAATAAAGCCTTTTTATGCTTTATTATGAAGATAATATTTTATTGTACCTTATTTATGTGAAAAATACTGTGAAGTAGTTGAAATTATAAGGCAGAGCTCTACATTGTGACACTTATTTTAAGACAATTTGATATGAAGTTGCTTTGGGTAGCAATATTTGTTAAAAAAGATTAGACACAAAACAACTCAAAAGCCTTATGGACTCAAGTTGGGCTGCAAGAGAATAACTTTGGTTTAGTATGTTCTTCATTGCTCACAAATGAAAAAACAAGCTATAAAGAAAAAAAACCCCAACTTTAAAAATGGTTTGCCTGTGCTGGTAGTGATAGAAAGAATACTAGAAATTTGTACCATGTGTGAGAACTTCTTTCATTTTTTCCTTATTTTTATCTTTTATGTTATACCTCCTCCTGCCAAACAGACAAAATATTCAGGTTTAGGAAAATGTGCTGATTGGTTTGTAATTGTCAACCTTACACTGTCATATATAATGCATTGGGAAGTAACTGATTAATACCACTGTCTGGGTAACTGTTTAAGCTCCAGGGAGATTGTTAGAATCGGAATTTTAGATCCTAACACCTGCCTGTCTGATACACATGAAAAGCACAGTCATCCAGTGACATGTCATCACTCACCAAGCTTTTAAAAAGCATAGTATTCTGCGAAAGGAGCTGCTTTGTGCCCCATCCTTCTTCCCTATGATACTTGCTAAAAATAAAGGGAAATCCTCTCTGATACTAAGATTTATGCTACTGTATGACAACCCTCTTTGATTATCTATCTTTCAACAAGATTCAGTCGCGAGAGCCCATCCCTAGCAGCTAGATGGCATTCTGCCCTTCCTGGAAATTAATGACAATGATAAAAGTGTTTTGCTAGAGCTCAGGCAGCTGCATTAATGTGCAGCTGCAGACACTTAGTTTTGCCCATCAGTTTTTAAACACTCAGTACCAGACTATGTAGAGGGATGCCATTTTCACATTTTAAGCCTAAGCTCAGATTCAGGTAT